GGCCACATTGTATCTAAGGATGGGGTAATAATGGATCCAAAAAAGGTTCTAATCAGTCCATATTTTAGTTTTGAGGGGATCACTGATGTAGTGTATGCATGACTTAGGCGATATGGGCATTTGATTTAAGGTTGATGATTTTGAGGATTATTAGCCCATTTTAGAGTGAGACTAACATTAATAGATCGGATCAAAGAAGTCCAAGACAAGGATGATTTTGTGGCAAAGGCACTAGAAGATCCTCAAGGAAAGAAAAGATAGATGTTTACTAAAGGCACTGATGGATTACTTAAATATGGATCTAGAGTATATGTGCTGGATATTGATGATTTGAGGTGAGAGATTCCAAAAGAAGCCCACATGGCTGCATATATAGTGCACTTAAGCACCACCAAGATGTACCATGATTTGATAGAATTGTATTGGTGAGAAGGCCTTAAGAGGGATATAGCCACATTTGTGCCTGACTGTTTAGTGTGCCAATAGGTTAAGGTAAAGCATCAAAGGCTTGTTTGATTGTTACAACCTTTACCTATTCCCGAGTAGAAGTAGGAGCATATTTCTATGAGCTTTGTGACTGGATTACACCACACGAGTCAAGGGTATGATTCTATATGGGTAATTATGGATAAGCTGACTAAGTCTGCTTATTTCTTATTGGTGACAACCAATTACGGAGTGACACAATCTGCTAAGTTGTATATTGATGAGATAGTGTGATTGCATGGAGTTTCGATCACCATAATATCTAATAAAGGCACACAGTTCACTAACAAATTTTGGGGGAAAGTATAAGAGGCTTTGGGTACTAAGTTTAATTTTAGCACTGCTTTCCACCCACAGATAGATGAACAGTTTGAAAAGACCATTCAGATGTTGGAAGATATGTTGAGGGCATGTGTCGTAGATTTTGGAGTCGCTTGGGACTAACACTTGCTATTGATTGAGTTTGCCTATAATAACAATTTTCTAGCCAGCATTTAGATGGCACCTTATGAAGGTTTGTACGGTCAGAGATGTAGATCACCCATATGTCGGTTTGAGGTCGGTGAGTAGAAGTTACTTGGGCTAGAATTAGTTGAAAAGACCATCGACAAGATGCAATTGATTAATGAGAGAATGCCAACAGCATAGAGTTACCAAAGTCATATGCCTACCATAGACATCTAGAGTTGGAGTTTAAGGTTAGTGACCATGTGTTCTTAAGGGTTTCTCCAACCAAAGGTATTATGACGTTTGGCAAGAAAGGCAAGCTAAGCCCAAGGTATATTAGACCTTTCGAGATTATAGAGAAAGTTAGTCCAGTTGCTTATTGATTGGCACTTTCACCGGATCTTGCTAATGTTTATCCCGTGTTTCATGTTTCGGTACTATAGAAGTACTAACCGATCCATTGCATGTGATACAACATGAGTCCTAGTTGGGAGATTATTTGAGTTACGAGGAAGTACCGGTAGCTATACTAGATAGGCAAGTGAAAAAGTTATGCTCCAAAGAGATAGCCTTGGTTAAGGTACAATGAAGTGATCACACAAGAGAAAAGGTGACTTGGGAAGTCGAGGATTACATGTGAGCGAAGTATCTACATTTATTCTACAAAGGTTAGTAAATTAGTTAAATTCTAGGATGAATTTTCAAAACGGGGGAGAATGTGAAATTCCACCTTGAGTAAGAAGATAAGTTAGGAAATCTTTAGGTGAGCATATAGATTACATATTTTGAACATCAAACTTAGTTTTAACCTTCAAAAGAATCTATTGAAACTTTCGATTATTTGCCACTTTTGAAGTAGAAAATTTTCTAAGTCTTGAAGGAGTCAAAATATGTGATTTCTATAAAACAATCTTTTGAAAATAAAAATTGACGGTAATGATTCCCTTGAGTTTAGATGATAAAAAATAATTTGTCTATAATTTTTGGAGTGCGTTTGCTATGGTAAATGGGAACTGTAAATTTAATTTTAGTCAAACTTTTTCAATTTTGTTCTTGAAACAATAAATTAGATTTTGATTCTTTGGGATTTTGATTGTTTTGATATTTTTATTGAATCCAAAGGAAGGGTTGTTTGCTTATTTACATTAAATATCTTAAGTAAATGAAGAGAAAAAAGTAAAGAGAATATTTACTTAATTCATGATGTATCAATACATTTAGCTCAAAATGGGTTCCTGATGAAAAAGTATTGATTCAAGTTTATAATGTATCGATACATATTTCCCAAAACTAAATGCATCGATACATTGGCCAATGTGTCGATAAATTTTGTCGATTTTAAAAAAATAAAAATGGTAAAAACATATTTTCACACCTTAGCTTATAAATATATCACATTTTTTTAAGGTTGCCAACCCTCAACCACATTTGCAAGGTAAAACACCTAATTTTAAGCCCTTTCAACACATTTTTAACCCAAAATTTCATTTTTATAATTCTAAAGCTTAGATTTGGGTTTTTATGGAAAAAGTTGACATTTTTAGCTTTTAAATCTTTTAGCTTTGGATTTTCAAAATTTAAATAGTTGTTTCATTGCCAAAATTTTTGTTGGTGATTAAATCTTGCAGGCTTTGTGATTTCCTTAAGCATCTAAGTTCACCTAAGGTAAGGATGAAATATTTATGCGTTTTAGCTAGAAAATTAGTTTAACCAAAATCGAGTAGTTTTGAAAGTACCTAAAATGATTATTACAAAATTGTTATTGTCAGAAATGATTGTAAAGAAGGTTGTTTGATAAGAAGGTTGTTTGATAGGGACGCATGAAAACTCTACTGATTTCACTAAAACAGAGTTGTGATTGGAAATAGGAATTGAATCTCCATTTAGGCAAGTGGATACACCACTTTTGTAAAGATCGCTTCTCGATCGTTACTTGTGTTGGAGTCTTACAGAAGAACCCGCCCAGTCCCGAACAAGTGTTAATTGAAACTTTAGTTATTATTTTCTACTCATGCCATCAATCTATGAAATTACTTTGAACCGTATGACTCTTTACAATAAGATTTGAACCAAAGTCGTAATAAGTCATCTTAACCTTTATTCACCATAATTGTAAGAATACATTATAGTCTAAACTCTCCAATTGTACATTTACATTGAGACTAATGTTTATTTACAAAAGCAAATTACACTACAGATGACTCAACCTCTAGCAGCGGAGCAACTCAGAATAAGTGTTATGAGATTCTTTTACCTATCTGTGGTGGACAATAAATGCCAATGAATGCATGTTAGGCCAATCACTATTTTCAAAAAGGAGATAAGGGGGTGAGTCTCACAGACTCATTGATCATCGGCTCTGTGAGCAGGGCATTGATGGGAAACAAGCTTAAAGTAGATCATTTGAATAATAAAACCAAAATATAAAATGATAGTCTTATAAAAACCAAATCATAAGTAGGGTATTTGTGCCTTGTAAAAATAATGCTGTAAAATCATAATGCAATACTTTCCTTGGCAAATCGATGCAAAAAACAAGCGTAGTAAAATAAAATTTCGATAATCAAAATTATCTATTTCATTCAAAAATACAATAACCATATAAAAGCAATCACGCTCCCAAAATATGTGGCATGTAAAACAATCGTATACATCCACATATATTAACTCATGATCAACGTATAAAGCACTACAAGTTTTCAATAAAATAGGGGAGCTGCGAAAAAAACATTAACTCTCCGCCATGCATAAGAGTGCGAGTCTCAAAACTCTCAAGGCTCTCGTGTAGGTAAACATAGATAATCATCCCGTGGATCCTTTTCCACGTAATAACGATCCTGGAGGCTCCCTTTCACTGGATTCCCACAACCATGCCAATCTTGACGATGTTGGCCGACATAAGAGAAATCATGTGGTCGCAACCACATATATCAACTTGTGGCCTTATCACGTATAATCACAGATCGTGACCTAGCCACGTTTAACAGCCCGTCGGTGACCTAGAGGTTTTCTAGCTAGAGCTCACTTATGCACGAGGGTCAGACTATCCTGATGTAATATTTGACCTACTTTCGATGCTCTCGGTTTGTCAAAACCATGTTCAAACCAAATCTAAGTTTCAAAGACTTTTGTTTTAAACCATTTGAAAATAAGGTTCAATAACGTTTCAAATTGCTTTTCACATTAAAATGCATGGTGTAAACATTTGTGTAAAGATCAGACTAATATTGGCTCTCAAAAGTTTGCATTTAAAACCATCTATCAAGTGCATTTAACTATGCACGTCACATAAATACACAAGGCATGGATTTGATGTAAAACATTGCAAAAATGCTTGTTTCTCAGTTTCTAAAACACTTTACGTATATATACTGCAATTCAATTTTCTACCCACGTAAGTGTACGTATCGCAAAGATAATATAGAGATGAGTAGAGTGTTGACCCACACAGAATTGAATTAATCTTTATTGTTAACTACTAAAATTAACACACCTTAATTTTATCTAAACAATTAAAATTGAAGAGAAAGATTTGAAACTAATAAACTAATAACTAAAACTAAAACTAATCTAAAATCTATGTGAATTTACTTTATTAAATGTGAATGACTACCAGAGTTGAGATTATGATATCCCTCAATATTTCATCTGAATCCTATCTCTCTCTCTTAACTTAGTTTAATGGATTAAGTTGCTAACCTAAAGTCTTAAATTATTTACAAGTCTCTATCAAGTTTCTTATCAAAATAGCTCTTCCAATTAATTTACTATATGTCTATGCAAATTATATTGAAGAAAGATTCATTAATTTTGTGCCCTAATTTTGGCTACATATGGCTTATAGGTGTATGTCTACCCTATATACAAATCAAATTACCTAATCAACTAAGTGTATTTGATCATACGATATTTTATTCAAGGTCTACCTAAATCTTTTTCATCAAGGTTTAACTTAAGTTTCTAATTCAATCTAACTGGTGATCAAGCAATTAAAAGCATTAAGAACAGAATAAAATAAACAACCTCAATCTATCAAACATAATCAAAAGAGAGATAAATAATTCAGATTACATAATGACTTTTATCATAATCTTAGATTAAAAATTTAGTTCCCTATCAAGTCACACATCATCATTGAATAAAGTTTAAACAATGAGAACAAAACCAAGAAAATAAAAGAATAACAGAAAAGATAGGAAAATTCAAGAGTTGTATTCTTGATCTCCAAATCTCTTTGAATCCTTCAAATTCTTCTTAGCTTCAATGACTCTTGTGGCTTGACGCTCAGTTTTTAATCTAGTGGTTTTTTTCCTTTCTTTCTGAAAGGTTATTTTTATAGGCTTTGAAGTTAGGCCAAGTTGGGTGGAGAAAGAAGTCAATGTCAGCTAGAATTTCCTCACCTGACTATGTAACTCACAGCCTTGTCCAATTAATTAACAGAAATCATAATTGCTCTAGGACTTTGACAAGATTTTTGACCCCCATCCAACTTGAAGTGAGTGAAGTTGTAGGTTTTTTCTCTCTTATCTTTCCAATGGTTCAAGAATCGTTTCATTTCAAGCACTGTAGAGAAAGTTATGGCCGAAATACCGAAATATGTGCAGTGGAAGTCTGCACCTTGAAATTGCTCTCTTTCTTTTACTAAAATTCTTCCTTCAAACACCTACAAAAACACAAATAAATCAATAATAACCTATCTTAACCATATTAACAGCAAATAAAGCAGAAAATTAACCATGATTAGATTCACTTACTTAAAATAACTAATTTAAAATAATTAAATAAAACTTACTAATTTCTATGCATTACTACAAGAACTAAGCTAAATTACTATCAAAATTAAGCTCAAATAACTCTATGTCATAAAGTTATCATATATGTATATATTCTACGCAAACACTTCTAAATTATTTTACATCCACAATTGCTTTGTTCTACTAGCTCATGCTTTCCACAAAAACAGTGTATAAATCATAACAAACCATGTGTTCAAATCACTTCTCATTTTCTAGCAACTCATGCTTTCCATAAAGACATTGGATAATACTATATATATACTTTGATATAGTAAGAATCTTTTTAAATAGACACCCCCTACCCACCTTACAATGGTGAGATATTACTTCCTCACTAATATTTCCTTAAATGCTTACTTTACGTTTGCAGCAATAATCCTTGCTTTGTCAACTTCTTGACATCATCTTAATCCAAAGCATTGAATGAGCTTTGCTGCCATTATATTCTACACTTGCTCTTCATATTTAATTCTATTCTTTCATCTCTTATTCCTAAGAGATAACCATTTACACTAAATCCTTAGTATGAACTTTAAATTTCACAAACCCAACATCTTGTTTATGACTTCAAATGCCTATATCACTCTTTCTAAGAATATTTATCATATTCAAACTATTATTTTCAGACTATTAACCACATATATGGCAGCAACTATAAATCTAATTTCACCAAGTAATTTTTAAGCTTATTTGCACCATTATTCACATTTAATATGATGCCACTAAGCACAATATCAATTTCCACTTTTTTTACATCAACATTCTTAACCTTTTAAATCTTTCAAAACAACCTATGTCCACAATTTCATTTTTCAACCTTTCAACTAGCATAATTGTTTTCTAACCGTACTTAAGGCATCACACAATCATTTCACTTTGCATGCCTTACCTTTTGTGATGGCTTGGATCTTGCATACATCTCAATATTCTTTTAAAGCTCTAATCACCACATACTCGTGCACAATCAACATGCATGCATCTGATCCTTTGATTCTTTGAAGATCTTGCTGCCAACATTATGCACAAATTATTTTCTTAATGACTTTACCAACCATAGGCCTTAAAACACAATACCATGTTTACCGTTTCTCTTTCACTTTGAATCCATCATGCATCCAAGAGTTTGATGGCTTGCATGTCACTAAATCCTCTCCAATCAAGCTAATCTTTGCTGCCACTAAACATTTATTATAGTTACCAACCCATTTTCAAAGAACATTCAAGCTAAAACCACAATCCTTACCTTGTTTCTTTTGTACCTTGAAACTAAGCTTTACACCTCCATCAACACTCCACGGTTTCTCTCTTAAATGTTGAAGACTCTTTGGGTGGTAGAATATCACAACTCTACAAGATAAAGGAAGGAACCCTCACAATTTCTCTTAAATCCTCACAACCTAAGCCTTTCCCACTTTCCCCTCTTTTTCTTTCTTTTTTTCTTCCTCTCGGGTGGATCTCCTCAAAGGTACTTTCTTATTTCTTTCCCTCTCTCAATGGCTGACTCTCTCTTAACTTCTCAAGGTCAATTCCTTTTTCTCCTTTTTACTCTTGAATCTTGGCATTTATGTAACGACCACTCCTTGATCACTACTGGCGTCTAAATCTTGCAAGAGAACCTGCCCAGTCCCTGAACAAACCTTAATTGAAACTTTAGTTATTATGTCATTAATTCACGAAATTGCTTTTAATTGTATACCTTTTTGTAAAAAAGAATTGAACATAAATCATAATAAACCATTTTATCCTTTATTCACCATAATCGTAAGAATACATTAAAGTCTATAGTGTCTAACTATGCATTTACATTGACACTATTTTCAAATACATCAAGCTAAGAATGACTCAACCTCTAGCAGTGGAGTGACTTAGAATAAAGTGCTATGAGATGCCTTTACCTATTTACGGTGGACCATAAGCACTAATGATTGCAAGCTAGGCCGATCATTATCTGCAAAAAGGAAATAAGGGGGTGAGTCTTATAGACTCAGTGATCATCGGCTCCATGAGCAAGGCGTAGATAGGAAACAAGCATAAAGCAAGTAAATTTGAATGATAAAACCGAAATAAGAATAATAATCTTAGAAAAATCAAATCACAAGTGGGTTTTTTATGCCTTGTAAAAATGATGCCGTAAAATAATAATGCAGTGTTTCACTTGGCAAAGTGGTGCTGAAAACAAGTGGAGCAAAACAAAGTTCAATCATTGAAAATATCACTTGCCATCAAAATATGAATAACAATATAAAAGTATGCATGCTCCCAAAATGCATGGAATATAAAGAAATCAAGTGTATAGCCACATAAACAAACTCATGATCGTCAAGTAAGCACTGAAAGCTTTTATTCAAACAAGGGAGCTGCAGAGAAATCTTAACTCTCCACCATGCAAAAGAGTATGCATCAAAACACTCACAAGGCTCTCGAGTAGGTAAGCATTGTAATCACCCGTGGACCCTCCTCCAAGTAATATCAATCCAAGAACGTTGCTCCGCTAGATTCCCACAGCCATGGCAGTCTCGATGATATTGACCAACATCGGGGAAATCAAGCTGTTGCAACCACACATCACAACTTATGGCCTAGCCACATATAATAACCAGTGACCTTGCCATGTATAATCATAGACCATGGCCCTAGCCATGTCTAACAGACCGTCGATAACCCAAAGGTTCTCTAGCTAGAACTCACTTGTGCACAAGGGTCACATTATCCTGATGTGACATTCAGCCTACTTTTGACGCTCTCAGTTTGTTAAAACTATTTTCAAAACCAAATCAAGTTTTCCAAGGCTTTTCCTTTAAATCATTTGAAATCAAGGTTAGATAACCCTTTAAATTACTTTCACGTTAAATGGCATGGTGTAAACACTTGTACAAAGATCAGAATAAAACCGGTGCTCAAAACATGCATTTTAAAGCATTTAACAAATGCATTTAGCAATGCATATCACACAAAAATGCAAGGCATGGATTTTGATGCAATTATCATAAAAAGGCTTGTTTCTCAATTTTTAAAACACTTTACATATATAGCTTATCTATAGATATATCCAAAACAACTTTCAAAACAATTTGCATCCATAATTTCCTATGGCTTTTAGCAGCTCATGCTTTCCACAAATGCGTTTAAAGAATACTATCAACATTTGCTATATGTATATCATTATATAGTTATGGAAATTTTGAAATAGGCACCTCCTACTTACCTTACAACAGCGAGACACTGCATCGCTATCAATTTGGGTGCATATCTAGCTAATTCTACTCGTCGATCACCCATTACCTCCCCGGCACGCCACCAAGCACACTTTCTTTACTTATACACTTCCTAGCAACCATACAAACCCAATACACTTAATTATTCACATGCATGGCAGCACATCAATCAATAAATCTGTAACCTAATTTCATGGTTAATTCCATGCTTACACACAATCATATATGGCAGCAATTTTACCAAAGAAGTCTTAAACCTTTGCATGCATAATCCTTATCCTTTACTTTCTTCAAACATTACACATCAAATCTCACAACCAATATAGGCATACTTCCTAAACCATAATCATATAACATAAACAATCAAGGAGTAGACCATAATTTGTCTTACCATTCCTCAATAATTTAACTTGAACTAAAACCAAGAAATCTCAAGCTCTTTGGTAGTGTAATCTCACATTTCTTGTGAATCACCAACATGCATGGTTTCCTTGGCACCCCACACGGTATTCTTTTGCTGCCACAAACATTTTCACACATTATAATTGGTTCAAAAAGCATGTATTCAAGCAAACTAACAATTTCTATCTTCCTTACCTTGAAATCTCCAAGCCAAACTGCCAAAATCTCTTTAAACTTCAACAATGGTGTGTGGGTGGGGAGGAAAACCTCTCGGTTTTCTCTTTTCTTCTTCTTTTAATCCGATTCTCTTTCTTTCTTTCTTTTCAATCTTTCCTCTTCTCTCGGGTGGAAGCTCCACAAGGCCATCTCCTCTTCATTTCTCTTCCAAATGGGCAAATCACTTATGGAACTCACTTGTTTTCTTCACATTTTTCTTCTAAAACCAGAGCCCTTCTTGCATGTTTCTTTTCTTTTCTTTCTTTTCTCTCTTTCTTTCTCTTTTCTTCTTTGTTATAGGCAGACCTCTCAAGACAAAAGCCATAAAATGGCTTTCATTTTCTCATTTTGCTCACACATGGATGGATTGCCCAAGGTTACTTTCTTTTTCTATTATTTTCTTTTCTTTTTTCTTCACTTTTGTTCATTCATTCCTCATTTCTCATTGGACCAACTCACCCCCCACTCATATTTCATGCACAAATTTTCTCTTTTGTTCATTGGTCCAAAATCTATCCTAATTATTTTCCATCCACCACCTTATTTTCTTACTTTTTTTTATTTCAGTTGCTACCTTATTCCTCCAATCATACTCCATGCACAAGCTTCACTTTACATTTTATTTGCCCATTTATTCAACCATTCAAGTCACATGCAACCCACATTTCACTTTCCTCATTTTAGCCACCTAATACACCAATCACATTACATGCAAATAAACTTAACTTTATTTTTTTCTTTTTTTTCACATGGTGGGGGTCCCACATGTCCCCCGCTAACATCTTCTTTCTGCATGCTATGATTTGCATGCAATAGTGAATTCATATGTATATTTCACATTCTACATAATTTAACTCCCCTTGATTAGTAAATGCCCATTTAACTTCAAATATTGTAATTGCACATAAGTTCTCAAACTTTTCCTTATTTACCATTCAACCCTCCATACTTTTCATCTTTTACAATTTGGCCCTTCAATCATTTCTTTGATTTCAATTTCCTTCTGTCTTTCTTCCTTTACATGTGTACAATAAAAATATCAAAGTTGCACTTCACCAAGGTATCATTTTAATATTTAAATATTTACTTATCCGTTCTTGCTTTGTTAAATAAAGGCACGCGGGCCCACTTATATCATTTTTCTTTGAAATTCTTTCTTATTTCTTTTTCTTCATTTAGATTAGTCATATAATCCTCTTCATGACCAATTTCAACAATAGATAAAATATTAATATTTTTATATTATTTTATTAATAAAATATTATTTTATTTAAAATTTTCCACTTATCTCCTCGGGACCTAAAATGTTTTGCTTTGTACCTGTTCACCTCTGATTAACCTTTTAACTTGCTAATTCATCCTTGATAAAAATATTATTATTTTATCGCTTACAAAATATTTTATTTTAAAATACATGCACACATTCACCTTTTATTTTCATTTGGCCATTTTGCCAACCAATGGGTTTTCATGCGCCAATTTCCTTTCTTCCACATTGGTTAAAAATCATCATTTAATTATCCATATTCATTCTTTAATTTATTTCCACTTAATTCCACCTTAGTTGTACCCAATGGTCTATCATGCCACTTTCCCACCTTAATCTCCATTCGGCCTCCTCCTTGGCCAATGACATTACATGCAACAATATTTTCTTTTTCTTTTAGTCTAATTGCAAGCAAGTGTCCATCATGCATTCTTTTAACTTTAAAAATCCACATGCATGTGTTATTTTATTCATTTGTCTCATGCCTTTTTGTTTGTCACATGGTTTGAGTCTCACATGCTTCCCACTACAAGTACATCCTTGCATGCATATCATTTCATGTAATAGCATTTGTGACATGCATGCTCCATCCTTCCACAAAATATAATTTTCCTTAGTTAGTCAAATTCCATTTAACTTAAAATGGTAAAATTACACATAAGTCCTCAATTCTCTCTTTATTTACCATTCGACTTTTGAAACTTTTCATCCTTTTCAATTTGAACATTTCATAAATTGCAATTTGATCCTTCAACTTGTTCATAATTACAATTTCACCCTTTTACTTTTCATTATTTACAATTCCACCCCTCAACTTCTTATTCCTTTCAATTAGGTCTTCCCATCATTCTTTTAATTCCAATTCCCTTCTATTTTCTTCCTTTACACTTGTACAAATAAAACATCAAACTCATACTTCACTAAGATGTCACCATAATATTTGAATATATACTTACCCTTTCTTGCTCTATTTAATAAGGGCATGCAGGCCCCACTTACATCGTTTTCTTCAAAATTCTATCTTACTTATTCTCTCTCATTTAGATTAGTCATATACTCCTTTTTCGTGACTAATTTCAATAATAGATAAAATATTAATATTTTAATATTATTTTATTAATAAAATGTTATTTTATTCTAAAATTCTTCACTTGTCTCCTTGTGCCCCAAAGTGTCTCACTTTGTCCCGGTTCACTACCAAATCACCTTTTAACTCACTAATTCATTCTTGATAAAATATTATTATTTTATTATTATTTTCTCACGTATGAAATATTTTATTCTAAAATATTCTTTTCACCCGTCACTACTCTTTTGAACTCAAATTAGCATCAATTAACCCTTCATCTTGTCAATAAGTTTGGATTGACTTCTATACGAGGGCACGAGGTGTTACAACTTTCAAATTATTTTGATATGTAAAGCTAGCATGATTTCTATGAAAAGGATTATTTATGTATATTGAGATGATATCTCAAAAGTGGTTATCAAAGGATTTGAGTTTCAAGAATGAAAAATAATTTTCTAAAAAAAATGAATTCTTAGTGATTGTGATATGATTGATTCAATGGTTTTTAAATTGTATATGAATCTACTATGTATATAAATACTCTACTATTTATTAGTTTTCAAGAAGGGGGGACAAGCACTTTATGTTTGAAGTCCACTCAATTACTTTGGTTTTCGGACTAGGGTGGGTTTAAGATATTGTATGCCTTTTCATAGATGCTATAGTGTGCATGTTTAGTATGGTGAATGCCATAAGATTATGTATATGATGTAAATTCTATATAAAATATGAGGTGATTAAGTATACATGACAAATGCCATGAGATAACACATATGATGTATATTCCATATACTACATGAGGTGATTGAGAAGCATGATGAATGCCATGAGAGTGTATAGATGATGTATTTTTCATATTCCTTAGGAGATGAATAAATTGGTATGTGTAGGACATTCCACATACGTCATGCTATGAGTATGAGAACTCTATGAGTGTGATTAATTCCATTCTCACGGGGTGAAAGTGATGACTTCACTCCAATGATGCATCATAAACGTCGAAGGTGCACTGGGATTGTACATTGTAGGCTTAAGGCTGATAGGGGCCATACCATCACAAAATATGAGTTTAATGTTTATGGAATGACCATAATTATTATGTTTATGGAATGTTGCATATTGATGTTGTTTGAGCATTGTTCATGGTCTGTACTCTATGATGACATGAAAATGTGCTTAGTAAGGAAGACTGAGCCCAAGAGAAAGTTCCAAAAAGCAAGGAAACTTAAGGAATGGTAAAAATGGAGGATCTTAGCTAGAAATTTCGATTCTAGGCTGAAAGTATCAATACATATGGGTTAAGTATTGATACATTCTAAACAAAATGCTTTAGGAGGCTTTCTGTGTGAAATGTATCATTACATTTTACTAATGTATAGATAAATGTATGAAAGTATCGATACATTCAAGAATGTATTGATAGTTTTGCTGTAGAATAGGTTGTTTGATTGAATTTGATGAGAATTTCATAGGTAAAGGATTCCCAAGGGTCTATATTGACATGTTTTCATATGAATATTATTCAAATATTTACAAATAATTTGTTTTATGAATTTTATGATTAAATTGTTTACGTAAGACATGAGATTACAAGTGCACGTTGACGAAATACTCTTATCCCCCGACTTGTCCCCTTTCTATGTCCACTCACAGAGTTTTTATGACTCACACGTTATTTTCCTCCCTTATTTTGTTGTAGATTAGTGATAGCGTTTGATAGCAGCCAATGTCGTGGGTACCAGTATCTAGTCTTCATTCTTTGGTAGTTGTCTAGCAACCACTTGATGCCTAGAGAGTCGGTCCCATTTTGCTGACGAATCAATGTTTTACTTTATGTTTATGTTTATAAACTATGAACATGTTTATGTTGATGTTGCCATGTTGGGCATTTTATATTGATAATATTATATATGGGATTATGATGATGGCTCGAAGGCCTACATGGACACCCGAAGGTGTTGGTGGCAGCTAATACTGATGTGCTCTATGACGGTGGCACTTTTTCAGATATATATATATATATATGTATACCAAATGCTTGAGCTTATAGAATTAAGTTGAGAAGTTCCTTAATTATAAATGTGTTTTATGAATGCATGCTTGATGGTTTCATCTGTAAATGGACGTTATAAGATGCTTATGCATGTAATAAGGAATTGTTTAGTGAGGTTATGGTAAGTGGCTTGCTCAGGCCTAGTGGGTTATGCTCGTTTGGGTCCATGCTTCGATTGTAATCTTTTCAGGAAATGGGATGTGACACTAATATGACAATCTAAACATCTAGGTTCATAGATTGTATAAACATTTTTGTATGCTTTTTCTAATAAGGTAATTAGTACCTACAAGGAGAGGTGGCCTTTGGATTGATTAACCTTCACCAAGTACAATTGTTGTGACCTCCATTTTGATGATTTGAGCTATTATAATGGATCAGTCAAGGCTGTTAGACCTACAAAATTGAGCCCTAGCTCTAATACCAATTGTTTATGTAGTAAGCCTAATATGACAAATACTAAAAAGGTGTGAATTAGTATTTTAAAATTTTCTTTGCAAACTTAACAAAAAACAATCCTTTTTTGAAAAACAACTTTTCTTATTGTGTTAAGAAGAAAGCAAGTGATTTTTCTTTCAAGCAAGCATCAATAATAAATTAGAAGGCATAAAAATAAATCAAGATATAAGGGTTTTCTCAAGTGCCTACACTCACTCCCTTGGCTCACTAAACAATTTTCAATCCACTAAAAGGATTCTTTCTTTTTAATAGGGTCAAGCAATAACTCTTACACAATCCTAAAAGGGATTCTTTCTTTTTAAAGGCATCAAGCAATAGCCATTACTTCAATTTTTTCACCGAATCAAGGAATAACCTTTCCACTAACTTTTCAAAGTTAAGTTAAAACTTTTACAGATGTGTGTACAAAGGAGTAATAGCAAAGATTTACCTTACAAAGGATAAATGATGAAGGGTTAAGCTTACGTTCAAGGAGAAAAATCAATCTCACAAATATTGGGTTAAAGATTTGCAAGTGAGTGAGCTTGGATAGCTTTGGAATGCTTTGTTGGAAGACTAAGATGAATGCTAGAGAGAAAAGATTAGCTTAAGGGTCTCTCTAGGGTTTTCCACTTTGGTGCTGTCTTCTTTTACTTGAAAATGAGTCA